CGTTTTTACCGAAATATACTGCTGTGACTTAACATGTTTTATCATTTTTTTTAGTATAAGATTTTTTAAAACTTATATTTTGCATGAGTAGTGTTAAGTATAAGTTATTAAAGGGTATTACATTTTTATTGACATTTATTTTTACAATTTTCCTCTGGTTTCAAAAAAGTTGTGGATAGTTCAATATCAACTTTTTGGCACTTAGCCCGTTATTGAATTCAAGTCCTCATATAATAATAATGTATTAATAATGATTTAAAGAAAGACGTGCTAAAGAATTAAGAATGAATAAGAATAGTTTAAAAATATCATTTCGTTATAAAATGTACCTTTCATGATAGATACTCCCAACATTAAACTCGTGTCCAGGTTGTTTACGTCAGTGTTAATATAATATGATATCGTAGATTCTATTGCATCGAATATTTTGTCCTCCCAATCTTGAGGTGTAATTATGTTTTCTACAAAAAATCCGTTTACTGTGAAAATTATTAAAAAGAAACTCACAAAATAAAAAGACGACATTTTTTCATTCGATTGAAACAGATAATAAAAATATTTTCGCATTCACTAGTCTTTTATGTAAATGAAAAAGGTTAGATTGAAATAAATGTTTATCACAAGGGTTTTGATGGTATTATGTAATAACCTTCAAGGGTTTTCATTTTGTTAAGATTTATTAGTAGATCGAAAGCCAAAGGGTAGGATTAGAATATGTCTTCATGTTTTATGCGGTTGGAAATACCTCTATTTTCCAATTAAGATGTTGACAGTGAAAAATTATGTCTTGAAATCTTAAATCTTTGGAATAGATTTACGATTGGCTTTATTTTTTGGGATGATAATAGATATTTTCACTTCCAACAATTGTTTAAGCGATATAATTACCAACGTATTTAATAATATATTGTCTAATGTCTAGTTATCAGGGGTAAAATTACAAAAAAAAAAGTGAATCCGGGGCTTCTGTTCAAATTTACTTGAATTGAAACATGACTAATAGCAGTGACTTTTTATTGGAAACCGGACTTTTATCATATTCAAGTCCAATATTTGATGCGGGGAACAAAAAAAGATGAGATGTATATTAATAAAAAAATTGTTTTAATTAACAAGGTGTTTTTCTATATATTTTATTTTGTTAGCAACTTCATTTTACTTTATTATTTAAATAGAATTCAATTAATTAATTTTACTAGTTGCAATTATATTTAATTTAACAAGCTTTTTAGATATTTAATTATTAATATATATTTATTTCTGAAAAATGATCTGGTCGCGTACCAGAAGGGAATTTAGATATGAAATCAAAAATTAATTATTAAAAAACAATAGCACAGTTGAGTCGTGGCACAGTATAGACGTGAGATAGTTGGGATAAGTAAAGATGATATCTGACAGGGATTAAAATCACATCATAAGAAACGCTTCAATGCAAATTTGTAGATAGTGTTTAATTTTAAGTTAAATTGATGGATTATTCTAAAAGCAAATTCCTATTTTTTGTTCTACTTGACTTTTGAACTTCTAGTACATAAAATAAGCTCTATTTTAACATATATTTAAAAGACGCAGTATTCCGGAACATTTTTAAAAGTTAAGTTGAAAAAGTTGTAATTTTGAATCCCCCCTGTGGGCAGATAAAGTCAGATTTATAAAAAAAAATATATCAAATGATAGGTAAGGACATTATGTATCTATTAAAAAAAAAATTATCTTGAGTTGTTCAATTTTGAAAAAGTTATGACAGTTTTAAGTAAAAATACAAGCCAGCACATGGGGGTCGCGGCACAGTGGTAACGTAGCATAGTTGGACCAAGTATAAAGATATCTGACAATGATTAAAATCACTATAAAAAAAAACGCTTCGATGCAAATCTTTAGATAGTGTTTCATCGTGAAGACAAAATAAAGTCCGAAATTTTTTTTTTCATAATAAAGTACATTACATTAGCTTTAATTTAAGATATATATAAAAGTATCAGACTTTCCGGAACACTTTCAAAAGTTAAGTTGAAAAAGTAAATTTTTTGTGAAAAAGTTGACATTTTGAATTCCCCCCTGTAGACAGGTAAAGAGTCAGATTTATAAAAAAAATATACCAAATGATAATTAAAGACATCATGCATCCATAAAATTTTATTGATCCAAACATCTTTCAAAAAGTTATAGCAATATAAAGTTAAAAATATAAAAAATACTTTTTTTACAAAAATCGTATTCTTTTTATTAACTTTGATGTCTGTTTTCACAATAAAGATAAAACAAAGTCCGAAATTTTTTTTTTTTCATAATAAAGTACATTACATTATCTTTAATTTAAGATATATATAAAAGTGTCAGACTTTCCGGAACATTTTCAAAAGTCAAATTGAAAAAGTTGTCATTTTAAATCCCTCCCTGTGGGCAGGTTTAGGGTCAGATTTATAAAAATATTATATTGATTTGTTCAATTTTGAAAAAGTTATGGCAGTTTTAAGTAAAAAAAATTTTAAAAATTTCGAAAATTAACTATTTTTAAATTTGTATTTTTTTTTGGAGATTTCTCCCATTTACGGAGAACGAGGGAAATTTTTTCAATTTTATAGGGTAATGTCTTCGACTAGATACGATTTGTGATCATTTGACGTATCGTTGAAAGAAATCCGTTCGGTGAGAGCTGAGAAAAAGTGGTAATAAACACACAAAAAAAAAAATTAAAATTAATAAACACATCATAGTAAAATTAATACCTTCTCAGCTTCGCATCGAAGCTAAAACTAACCAAGGAAAATCCTTTGGTATTTTAAACATTTTACAATCATAATTTTTAGTAGCAATTCTTGTGTTAATGCAGTTTTTTACAATGCAACATAAAACATTCTATTAATTATTATATAAAACAAGGAAAATTAATGAAATAAAATGATTAAAAGTAAAATTCTTATAATATATATTTTCACTCGACCGGTATTATGTCTTTTCATGATAACAAAATGATAATACCAATACCTACAATAAAATGGCTGCTACTTTTTGCTTACATATTGAAGTGATTATAGTCTGATAGTAACATTCCTGTCCAAGATGATTATAATGATAAAAATGTTAACAATGAATATTATTTTGTTATAGATTTTAACCGCCAAATAGATGTAATAATTTATCAATTAAATAATACAAACTTTTAAAATAATTGCTTACATCTACAAAAGATATAATAATATAGTATTGTTAAGTTTAACGGAGTTTTTTTTTTTTTTATAAATTTGGTTTCATTCAACATTTTTCTGTAAACTCGTTTTGTTTATTTTAGGTATGATGATACTTTAAATTTATTAACATAGAATTAGTATTTACATATGACGATTTCAAATCATTTACGTGATATTTACTGTTAAAGTTGATTTTGAATTATTCATTATTTTTTGAGTTCGAGTTAAATTGAAAAAATACATATAAATTAAAATGTAAGAACTTACAGTAGCCCATTATTAAATTTATTTTTCAATTAAAAAAAAAAATGTGACATTTTTAACCTTTTATTTTTTAGTTTTCCTCTTAAATCNAACCTTTTATTTTTTAGTTTTCCTCTTAAATCCTATAGCCCCATTTACATGTTACTGGGTTTTGCACTTAGGAAATTTTTTAGGATTATCTCTATTTATTTTTATTTTTTGTACACAGCAAGTTATTGACACGAAGACCTCATATGTATTATTTTTAGTATTAAGTCAAATTATATTACCCAAATATTTTTAAAATATTAAAATAATGTATATGGGAAAATTTATACCAATATTTATTATAGAACCCA